GCTGCTGACGTGAGCAAATGCAAAGACTATTTAACCGCGCGCGCTTGTTTTTTCTGGTCACGTAAGATTTGTTAAATAAAAGGGAACTCTATAGCTACAGTGTATCAATGTTATGTTATAAAACAAATGGTAAACACCACAGCGTACACTATTGAGTTATGGATGCACTTGGGAGGTTTGCTAAGCACTCAAGAAGCTAGAGTCGCTCTCGGCTATCGCCTCGCGCGACTCTTACCCTTCTTTCGTGCTTAGCAACCTCCCGCGTGCATCCATAACTCAATAGTGTACGCTGTGGTGCTTACCATTTGTTAATTTGAAAAGGAACTTTAAGGAGAGAGAAAGTGTGGAAACATCAAAATTGAGAATTAGAAGATTCTCGCTCTTTGTGTTAGTGGCGTGTCTTGATAATTTGAAAATAATAATGATATTAATGATAATAATATTAACAATAATTAACAATTATTCGCCTCAGGTTCGGTGAATATCGTCGAATAAACCCCGAGACGAAGTTCAGGAGATTATTCGACAATATTCACCGAACCTGAGGCGAATAATTATTTTAGTATAATTTCAGAGCTGAACAACAGAGGAATTTCTAAAATCATGACATATTAGTAACATTTTATTTTAACATTTTGTATAAACCTCGTGGAGCGGTTTATATAACGGCATATAAGGAACCGTTCGACCAATCAGATTGCTGGAAACTCTTTGCTCAGCTCTGAAATTATACTAATGATAATTATAACAATTAGAATAATTATAATAGTAATAACAATAGTAATAATTGTAATATTGATGATAATGACAAAAAGGATAATTATGTTAATGATAAAATCTCAATGACTTTTTAATCCGATTTCTCATTATACTTGGAAGCAATATGTAGTGTTTAGTAGGGTTATATTTAACGACATATTTGGAGCGATGATTGACTTCTAGAAACAATACAGGGCTGAAAGTGCGATTGGTGGCAGTCAGAATCGGCGTAAAAGAGTTCCCTTTGTCTTCAAGAGTTCTTCCTACTCACACCTTACCAGGAAGGAAAAAAAATACTTACGTTCGATCTCCATCTTTTTTTGTAAGAAATGCAAAGACCTTCCTCTCGATTGCTAATGACCCGGCCCATCGCTTACATAAAATGCTTCAATCGTCAGGGCCGTCGTGTTATAATCTCTGGTGCAAAAGGAGTTTTGCGATTCCCAAATGTAGGACCGAGCCTTTCAAAAATAGTTTTTTATTAAGATCATGTATTAACAACGAATTTTAGTGCTCGGTGAGTTTTGTAAATGAGATCGATGCCGTTGTTTATATTTTAACAGTTCAAGCTTTCATCATATTTATAGGATATTTAACAATTATTCCACTCGCGCTTGTTGGATATGAGATGATAGATAGCCAACGAGACGCTACGCGCTACGCGCCTCGTTGGCTATTAATCATCTCATATCCAACAAGCGCGAGTGGAATAATTGTTTTATTAAAAAAAACGCCCCCAAGATATTAGACAAATCTTCTCGGCTTTATTTTGTAAGAAGAAACCTGATGTTACAATGTACAGATATTAGATTATTGTATAATGGCTCATATACCATAATGGCTAAGCCAATAAAAAGTCTTGAATTGCATTATCCAATGATCTAGTTTTTAATAATATTATTTATTTATGACTTTAATGCTATCATATTACTATTATAAGTTATATTTTATACTTCATTGTAAATACACAATTCAGCTCAGTGGCTGCAAGCTTTTTACAAATAAACTATCTATCTATCCATCTATCCATCTATCTATCAATCAAATGTATGACCGCAGGATTATAACTAGCTCGCTGACCTTCGCCGAATGTTTACAGCAGACTGAGATACGTTCACTTGCATCTCTTTTATAGCTCTAGATGTTTTAATCGCGTTCATCTCCATTGCTTACGTTAGTGTAATTTTTGTCACCATGAAAATTTAAGCTGAGGTAACGACACCTTTTTTCCGCTCCGTAGCGAAGACTTCGTCAGACTCTAGACCGGCCTTACATGTTCCATGCCTCAATAGATAAATTTTCTTCACCAGCCTGGCTTCTCCAAATCAGATCGCGTGAATAATGAAATGCAGCTGGAGATCTTATCGATAAAACTTAATGAAGTGATGGGTATTTACTGAGCGAACCATAAAACCACTGATTACTTTGAATTTATTAGTTGGATTTTCTACAAGTACTAAATCTCTGAGTCCATAGTAACCTTTCTTTTGGAAATTTTCGCGGCCATGAAACTGGCTTGAACTAAATGAAAGGAATGGAGTAACGAGTTATTTTTGAGACGCAGATAAGTGGAAAGAATGTGCCACACTAATCAAACTTGTTGAGCTACGTTGCCTTTGTTGCGTGTTGAAAAACAAAGGATAGAACAGCTTTTTTAAAATCCTTATTTGTGATCCCTTTTAATCTTCTCAATTCGTAGCCATCTTTGTTGAATTTTAATCTCTTGTTCGCTCTTTTTCTTTTTCTCCCTATCGAGCTGATATGCCGCGGTCTCCTTCAAAAACCAAAACAAAAATGATAACCGTAACCATATTTCAAAACAACAACAGTTCACATCACCAGGAGCCAACCAGTAACCAGATACACGTGACCATCTCGAGCGCGGGAAAACGCGGGTGACCAAGTTATGGGTTTTGATTCTGATTGGTGAAAAGTGGTAGCACGAGTTTTCTGAACCAATCACAGAGCGGAGAAAAAAAATAAAGAAAAAATTCAAGCAAACCCAGATTAATTTCGAAATTCAGTTGAAAATTGCGGCTTCATTCTTATCAAATTGAAAGTGATCTCAATAGTTTTCGTTCTGAGTTCTTCTTCAAGCATCCCTTTGCAAGTTCTTTTTTAAAAAGCAGTTACATGCCAGATACAGCAAGGTGATAATAGCTGTAAACATATTTTTGATTTTTTTTCTGCAGCTTTTGTTATCGATAAGCATCTCATGAGTTTAGTCAGACACACCTCTGTGCTTTGCAGTGAACATCGTTTCTGTTCCTTGGAAGATGTTGTGTAGATAAGGATGAAACTCATGTTACATTTTTTAGGAGTTTTATTCAACCTTCTAAAGTTTGAATCCATTGGAGGCAATTTCGGGAATTTTGTTCTCAATTCAGTGAATAAATTGCTCATCTCGGAGATATAGTGATTATTTAATTGACACATCTAGAGACAGAAGAATCCGCGCTTCCCAAAGATCAGTTCCTTGTTATAATTTCTTAATTCCTTATTTGACATTCAGGCTTCCATATTGATTGAAGAGCTTTCTCTTTTCTTTTTTTTTTTTTTTTTTTTAAGTTAATACTTGAATCCTAAACAGAAATTGATATTTCTTGTAAAGAAATAATCAACTGAATTTTAATTTTGGAGAACCGGATTTTTTAGTTAATATTCTTATTTATTTAGAGATCTAAACTATCCACCGTATTACTCCTTTTTTAACTGATGGATGAGTTGATGTCGCGCTGTATGAAGAAAATTTGCTTCTCTTCTTCTCACAGTCGCAAGAATCATCGAAATAATTGCTTAATGGGCTTCACTTAACATGTTGAAGCGTGGGTTTAAACCAACCCTATTTGATTTTGAAGGTTTGAACGCGCCCTTCAATCCTAAATTAGCTATTTTCTGAAGATAAGAGTGTGAATTTTGGAGGAGCCATATATGGTAAGAGCGGAACTCCTAACATTTCACAGACGTACCTTGCAAAGATTTCTCCAATTTATCAAATCTAAACTTCAACCTTCAAAAGTTTCTGTTAGAGGTGGTAATAGAATAATTGAGAGTTTAGAATAAAACGCGTGTGGGATTGATAATCTGATATTGCTTTGTAAGGATTTCAAAATGTCAATGAATCGATACCGAATCAGCTTAAAGAGCGAACGAAATATGCAACAGGCTTTCATCTCCATTTTGAGACGAAAAATCTTCCTGTCGCCCACTTTTAGAGTATTAGTTATTATTCTCTAATCCCACGCTGAGGATGTTTAAAAACTAGAGAAAGAATTTACATATTTAATGTTAAAAGCAATAGTATTGCCTGTGTACAGTCTTGTCGTTTTGTTGGCAAGCATTTCAGCAACTTAGACAATCGAGGAATTAAATTTGAAACATTTTCCAGCCACAGTTGGTGAAAGAAGAAGAGAATATTTCAAAGTAAGGCGTAAAACTGTTATTGTTTGAAACCTTGTGATCATTATCTTTTACTTTTGTGGTAATTATAATGGAATTTAACCAAGAATTTCTTGCTAGATAAGTGTTGATTGAAATACAAAATTGCAGTCACTCTTCGATATGGTGGTTACATTTTATTTCAAAAGTGAAAAGTTATCGTCTTTACTTTAGGATCGAAGAAAAACGAATACCTTCGAGGACACCGCATAGGGAAATTTCAATTTGTGCGCTCATTAGTGCCAAAAAATGATGCGAAACAATGAAAACCACGAAAAAAATTTCTCACTTGGTTGACACAACAAATTGTACTTGGAGCTTTCGTGAATTCGTGGCGAAAATTTAAGAACCCTGATTATTTTTATGCGTCACTCGGTTTGGAAATACTTCACAGTGGTCGAAAAATTCCGAACCAACTTCCCACGCGCGATAAGAACTTCATTTCGGAATGCGTTTTCCAAAACACCTGTTATAATCGTTAATAATCTAAATTTACAACCTGGTTTTTCGAAATAAACTAACATTTGGGGTGAAGATAATGGTGCCTAACTGGGCCAATGGGGGCGCAGTTTTTAAATGTTTCTTTATAACGAACCAAATATGAGGGCTTTGATTGCGCGCGTGTGTCTTTGGCCAATCTAACGCCAGTTAGAGCTGAGGTAAATATTCATGGCGTAAGGTAGGAAGCGCGCTCGTTAGTACACGGCTGGGTGTTGTGCATTCGTTTTAAGGCTCGTAATTCTACTCAGGTTTTGGCGTCGACGACTCTATTTGACACAATATTCATGCTATTATTTTGGTAGAAAGAAGACATGGAAGACGACGAGAAGAAAGTGGCACTGAACGGTGCTGCGGAGGGGGATATTCCACCCGAAGAGGAAGGTCAATATAAGGTAGAAGTGGAGATCAATATGGAAGAACGAGAAAAATGGGGTAAGAAAGTGGAGTTTTTCCTGGCGTGTATCGGTTACGCTGTTGGGTTAGGCAACGTGTGGCGGTTTCCGTATTTGTGTTTCGAAAATGGCGGTGGTGCGTTTCTCATTCCGTACGTCTGTATGCTGTTTCTATGCGGAATGCCATTGTTCTTTATGGAACTTGCCCTTGGCCAGTACGTGAGCTTAGGACCTGTAACATCGTGGGCGGCTATATGTCCTTTGGCCAAAGGTACGTGTATCGTTCTTGAGAGGCATTGTTCATCGTTCTTCATCTATTTACCTACTAAAATACAAATTTAAATAATACGGTCTAATCGAACCATATTGCTTTGCGAAAAGAAACACTATAGGAATCTTATTGAAATATTTTCTTGTGCCAGCATGTTCAGTGATTTTTATGGCGTTTCGGCAAAGTTTCGTGTCGTGTGTAGTCCATCCTGAATTGCGGGTCTGAAAGCTTGTTTCTATTTTACTTGATCTCAAAGGTGAATGGAAATTTAAAATGATTTTTAATGTATCGCAAAAAGTTCTATTTGATAAGGTTATTTTTAGTTTTGATGGCGTTTCCCCAATATTCACAATTTGCAAAAACAAAACGGAAATTTTGTTGTCTGATTGATAAAGAATCCTTCTTGAAAACGGCTTTCAGTCATTCGAAATGAGCAGGTTCGACGCGTGCTTTGTCGAAATTTTTGTGTGAAGTTTATAATTAATTTATGAAATAGAACACTGTTACAGTTTTGTTCGCACAAAGCATGCAATATTGATAACAATTTACACATTGTTAGTTAGTTCTCGTTCTCAGACAAGAACACATTCTACTTTGTTCTCCGCAAGGATCAATATAAATTGCTTACATTGATGTTGTTACATGAAAACATATTTGTTAATTCCTTCAAGAACCACCGCGTCTGTTTAGATTACTTTCCATATTTTAATCCCTGAGACGATCCACGGAAAGATCATCCGATAAATTTTCTAACACAACAATGTGAGTTATCTTGAAAACGATCTGTTCTTCTTATCTACTCTTTCTTCTAGAATTATTCGTTTATTTTCCTTGGATAAAAAATTCAGCGCCCAGTCATTCACGATACTTACTTTCAATAAGTGCTCGAGGAAATTGAGCGTGTTTCAACGCTGTAGAAATTAAGCCCGATGATTATCTCATTATTAGTAGTTCCATATACGGACATCTGGTTAGAGATCAAAATTAATTTTTATAAATATGAACAATTACTTAAGGAACATGAAATGTCCAACAAATTACTAAAAAACCTTCTTAAAATGACGTAAAATATGTACACGCGAACACCGCGACTTGAAATTGTTCAGTCTAGACAAATGCTCTCATTGCAAACGTAGTATCTTTGCGGGGGAAACTTTTTCTACTCACTCTGCGGGAAACGGTTAAAAAAAAAATCATTGTTTTCGAATTGAAATGTTCAATATTTTTAGTACTCTTGTGTTTGGGTGGAGTAAATATTCGCGCTATCGAAATATTCTTATATTGTAGTAAACAGCTGCCAGAGAATTCGTCAGGCAGAGTTTCCTTTTGAACATGCAAATTTCGGAAACGGAGTTGATTAAGAAGAGACTTTTTAGCAATCGGCTCAGAGTAAAACTCTTTCGCAAATTTATTATTTTTTTTTTTTTACATAGACGTAATCGCGCGGACGCTATGCAGTAAACAATGTGTAGTTTTTGACTCGTTCCATCATAAGTCTCGTAGGGAATTGTGGTTTGTCGCTGTGCTGAGAAAATTGGACAAATTGTACTATGCTAATAAAGCTACCACAAGCCACGAACTTCCACGACTCAAAATCAAATTTAAAAACCACTGTGTTTGAAATTTCTTCAGACACTATTTTAACTTTCCTCAGAAATGAATGGAGGAAATTCTTTTTTTTTTTTTTCTCGGTGATCTAGGAGAAAGTCTGCCTTGGTTGTTTGTTGTGTCCTCCAGGTTACGCTTTGCCGCTGGTTTTACAGAGATATGATTTTTTCGCAACTGCAAGAAAAATTTCACGAGATCAGTAGACATTCTGCTTGATGTTTGTAGAATATCAATCACCACACAACCCTATCATAGTCTTTAAGTGGCACTCAAAAGTGATGTGTGAAGTCCCGCCTTCGTCTTGTCATCTGTATTGTTACATGTCACCACATTACCTACCATGTAGTCTTTTAAGTGCACTCGAAATCTCTTTAGCCATTGTTCGAAGTGATCGTCTCTAAGGCCCGCCTTTTTGAAGTCACCTGCTGTGTAATCTATCACCACGCTTCCCGTATCGTAAATTTTGAGTGCCCGCGCAAACTATTCACTGGCATCGTTGTCGGCGTTAACGATAGGACAGACAACTCTTGTTTTGAGGTAACCCAGCTTTTAAGACAGCGTTTTTAAAAATTATTGGCCAAAACTGCAAGGAAATGTACGGAAATAGCTCTCAATGGCAGACTCTTCACTCTGTCCCAGAGCTTTCTTCGCGTTACCATGGACACTTTGAACTGCCGTTTTCTCGGAATGTACTCGAAGATGAATCTTTTACAATTAAGTTAAAGTTTTATTTTCAATAAAAAGATATTAATGAGGAGATCTAGAAGGACTGTTTGGTCGAGGAGTTGTTCGTTGATGGTGCTATGTCACCATTCAGTTTGTTTCGTCATAGTATAGAGCATCTTTCAATTTTCGAAAGTATTTTGGGATTGCATTGGTTCTCCTTTACTTCGCTCTGTCATTGGTCCAAAAAAAAAAAAAAAAAAAAACAGGCGCTGCTTTCACAACCAATCAGATGCAAAACTAAAATCAATCACGACTTTGGTCAGCCGCGGTTTCCCGCGCTTTAGGTAGCGTTCTTCTTTTTACTCCTAAGTTCTCATTGGCTCTTATTTCAGATTGGCCATAATGATTACTTTCGTTTTAGTTTTACGACACTCAATCAACGATAAAGCTCTCTATCACCGTCTCTTGTGTTTTCTTTCTCATTGTACTAATGTTTTGTAGCCTCCTCCAAGGTCAAATTAGTCTTGAACCCCACAACAATGTATTTGAATATTGTGAACAACGTCTTCAAAGAGAACTCTGATCGTAAATCGTATTTTTCATTTTATAAGTTAGTTTCCCCTTTAACACTTGTCGGTGGAAGGGAAATGAGATTGATAAATTTTTTTGTATTTGAACTTACTCATTCGACGAATAACTTAACATATACTTATGATGCACGATCCTCGCAGTAGAGAGCGCTATTTATGCAATAGCGAAAATCAGACCCGAAAAAAATCAGGCGTGTACGGTAGAGTGCTGCACTAGTATCGTAGAGGTGAGTGGTTCGAATCCCCTACAGGCCTGATTTTTTTCGTGTCTGATTTTTGCTATTGCATAAATAGGGCTCTCTACTGCGAGGATCGTGCATCATACGTATTTAATACCGCAGTTCAAAATATATAAACTTCATATATACATTGTATCTTAATATATACTGATTGATTGATTGATCGATCGATTGCATGTTTGATTAGGTGTGGGTTTTTCCATGCTGGTCGTGTCCTTTCTCTGCTGTGTGTACTATAATGTCATCATCGCATGGTGTTTGTACTACATGTTTAAGTCGTTTGCCAGCATGGTTCCGTGGGCAACATGCAATAACTGGTGGAACACACCCAGCTGCTCACGCGCGAAGAAAACGAGTAATGGTGTCACTGAAAATGGCGGTATTCCTGGCAACACAACGAGCAACAATACAGAGCTCCTTTACAACGCTTCTTGTATTAACCAAACCTTTCCAGTTTTTGGAAACTTGACTGGCGGGAACATGAATGTTATGAATGCTTCCGTGCCGTGTTTTAACACGACCCTCAATGCCACTGTAAATGCTACTACTACTACACTCACAAGAGTTTCTGTCATGGATAGCAATTCTCCCAGCAAAGAATTCTGGGAAAGATATGTCCTTCGAATTACTGACGGCATCGGAGACCCCGGTTCGATGCGCGTCGAGCTGTTGGTGGCACTCATCGTGGCCTGGATTCTGGTGTATTTTTGTCTGTGGAAGGGGATAAAGTCCTCGGGGAAGGTGGTCTATTTCACCGCTACTTTCCCTTATGTGGTGCTTGTAATCTTGCTCATCCGCGGGGTTACCTTGCCTGGTGCATCGAAGGGCATCGAATTCTATTTGAAGCCCGATTTCAAGAAGCTGGGCGATGCCTCCGTCTGGGCTAAAGCTGCCACGCAAATATTTTATTCCCTTGGAATCGGATTTGGTTCGCTCATTACTATGGGGAGTTTCAACCAGTTTCACAACAACTGTTTCAGGTGAGACCAGTATACTTTAATAAGATTTTCTTTTACTTGCGTGCTTGCTCTGCTGTCTTCCATGATTATCATTTGTCTTTTTGATGTTCTGATTTTTTTGTGGTCTAATGACTCAGCACGCCCGGGAATGCTCTGGCAGAGTTTTTGTGGGCACCTGACTCTCGCAGCGCTTCTATTCATTCAGGGTAGAAGGGAAACCTTGTGTTGACCTACGGTGGAGAAAGCATCCCATCCTGGAGTAATGCTTAGAAACCGGAATACATTTCGACGATGTGAATGTGGGCATCTGCTCGTGTCCTAGACGTAACCATCTTTACTTCTTTTGTTTTAGAGATGCCATGATCGTATCCGTCATAAACTGCAGTACCAGTGTATTCGCTGGTTTTGTGATCTTCAGTGTGCTTGGCTTCATGGCGCATGTGTCCGGCAAGGCCGTCAAAGATGTGGCTACATCCGGTCCTGGATTGGCCTTTGAAGTTTATCCCGAGGGGATAGCCCAGATGCCTATTTCTCCATTCTGGGCTGTGTTGTTCTTCTTCATGTTGTTGACGTTAGGGCTGGATACCCAGTTCGCCATGTTCGAAGCTGTCGTCACTGGCCTTGTGGATGAGTACCCGCGCTTTTTGAAAAAACGCAAAGAGCTGTTCATTGCTGTCTTGTGTTTCGTCTGCTTTCTGCTGGGTATTCCTATGGTCATGCAGGTAGAGTGTTTTTTTTTTTGTTTTTTTTTTTCTTTTAGGAGCTAAAACTTAGGAAATCGCTTCACATCGGAGGAAATTCTAAAGGATTGTTTCGAGATAGGCAAACATTTACTCTCTGGGTGCGTTTTGCTATGCAGGGTCGCTATTACGGGAAAGAAGGTTTAGCGATTATTGTTTCCAAGGATATGCAAACTTTGAGATTTAGCGGCGAGCTCTGCAAACTGGGAAATGGCTTACGAAATGAGAAAATTTTGAGATAATTTTTTCCAAGGATAGGCACGAATAAGGGAGATATGTAATGTGAAGTGTCAAGAATGGAAGAAATTTTCACGGATTGAGTCAGCCCCGTTAAATCATCGTTTTTACTCAGCAAGCGCAGCGGGTTAAATATTGCCCTATGGCTCGTTAGTTCGAGAAGGGAAGCCGGATCAGTATTGTCATTACATGGTATTTCCCTTTTAAGTTGTACACTCTTGCGGCAGAGATAATCGTCAACCTTTGGGAGTGTATTTGAGGGCCTTCTAACAATCTGCGTATCCGGCATTAGTTGTGTAAAAGAAGTTATGAATAATAACAAACTTTTTATCCGCTGATATTTGTACCGTTTCACTGAATGATCGAAACTCAGCGGATCTCACGCACAATTTTTAGCGTGTGTTTCAAGTGTTGTTCATTTCGACACTGCTTTAAAGAAAACTTTTTGAGCCGGTCAGGAGAACGTAGTATGATCGTCTTTCATGTTACTTTCGTTGCTTGCTCTAAATGTATTTCTGTCAATGAAAGGCGGCTGAGATGTGAGCATCAACCAGTTTGGTCGAAATACATAATAAAAAGATATTTTAATGTTCTTTGTGATCGACATGTAAATACATTTTGGGTAAATGTTTGTTTCGCAAATTACTCGGTCCAGAGTCCAGAGCGGATACATCAAATGAAGCAGTTTTAAACAGTGTCGCCGCGTGTTTTAAGATTCGTTTAAATGTCGCTATCGTGATTAAAAATGAAGAGAGCGTCCTTATTTTTTGTGTAACCATTCTGTTTCACCAATCCTTTTCATCGAGGGCGCTAGAATGAATGGACGTCCGTAGATGGCATAAGTTGTGCGGATTATTACTTATCTTTTCCGTTAATTTGTGGCGTCTTCGTCTGGCTGAGCCTTTGGAGCCATTTCAAGTTGAAGTAATCCAGTATTTTTTCGGTTGTTGCTTTACCCCGCTTTGTGATTGGTAAGGAAAGCTCGCACCATTCTCTTAACCAATCAGATTCAAAACTAAAACCAATCCCGACTTGCTCATTCGCGTGTACCATCTGTCTTGGTCGGCCGCAGGTATTTCTTCTGTTTTAGTCTCGAGACTCTATGTTAGAAACTGCTCTATTTTGTGTACCTCCTCTGGACGAAGACCAGAGGAGGTACACAAACCAGGATTTCTCCTTGTACGAAAAAATCATATCTTCACCGCGCGCCGTGAAGATACTATTGTTATCTTTCACGTGTGAGGATATTGGTGTGGCCATGGTTACCAACATAATTACCCAATTGCTGTTTCGAAAATGAATAAAAAAAGTTGTCTTTTATGTGAAAATCTCATCAGTATCTACATAATAAACAGAACATTACATGGCCGCTAGGGGATACGAATTTTATCTTCTCGTGCTGAAAGTATCTCTTCCGAGTGAGTGCAGCGAAGGAGTGAGAGATACTTTCAGCACTCGACGATAAAATTCGTGTCCCTGCGCGGCCATGTAATATCCTCTATGTCATACTTTGCATCATAGGGCGGCATGTATGTTCTTAACCTGTACAACTATCAGTCTGGTGGAGTGTCCTTGCTGTTCCTGGCCTTGTTTGAAGTTCTCACCGTGGCCTGGGGCTATGGCGGTGACCGTTTTGCTAAAGACATCGAGACCATGATTGGTTACAAAATATGGCGATGGTGGCCTATTGCCTGGAAATACCTCACCCCGCTTGTTATTTTAGGTAGGTGGTAATATGACAGTACTACGTGTGCACCTCTTGTGTAAGAATACATGTAGAGGGATAACGTGATGGAGAAATGTACCACGTTGTCAAGCCAGCCTTGGCTAATCTTTATTCAGTCCTGGAACGTTCAAAGAAGTATGTTTTTTCGTCCTGTCACGAGCGTAGGACAACGAAAAAAAGCTGTCTCCAATTGAACCTTCGGAGTCCGCGCCACAATGCTCTACCACGGAGTTCCTGAGAGCTTTTTTTTTGCGCTAGGGCATTACTAGATTCCTAGCAATGGCACTTATCCTGCGTACTGCGAGGATCAGTAATGTCGAAAGCTCCTTGCCATTAAATAAGCTAAAAAAAAAAAAAAAAAATTGAAATTTTGATCTCGGTAGTGAAGTAAGGGAAAATGATTTTTTGTTTTTTTTTATCGGGCGCGGGAAGGAAAAAAATAACATGGTCGTGGTGGTCCATTGCCTGGAAATTCCTCTCTCCGCTTGTTATTTACGGTAGGAGGTGACATCAAAACTCTACGTACCTCTCGTCTTCGCCGATAAAGTTGCTCTCCACAAAACTTTTTCAGTTAGACCCTCGCGACAGTATCTCAGGTTCTTGCTATGTCTCTTTGTCCTTAGTTCCTTTTTGGCCGTTGTGTTGAATTTGGTTTTATGGCGATCAATAGAAAGTAATTAATTCCTAAAATCATTTCAAGCCAGCCGTTCTCACTGTTGTTTGTCCTGTTTATTCTACCCCAGGGGTTTTCTTGTTTAGTGTCATTCAGTGGAACGGCGTAACATATGGTGATTATCAGTACCCTCCATGGGCAGAATTCTGTGGTTGGGTTCTAGCGCTAGCCTCCATGCTGTGGATTCCAGGAGTTGCAACCTACAAGATTATCAAAACCCCTGGGAGTTCTTTGTATCAGAGAATACGTCTTCTTATGAGGCCAGACGAGGAGGAGATGAAAGCGATAGAGTTACGCGAAGGCTTAGCAACACAAGGAGAGATGGAAACTCTCTAGAGAATCCTGATTTCATTGGGCCTGTTTATAAAAGAGTTATTTTAATTTGTTTTAATTTTGAAGAAAGCATGAGCGGTAATCTTAGTCAGTTTGATGTTGGACTTTGCAGTAACATTAGTATTTGTCGGTATAAATTTAATTTTGATTATTTTTTCCACAATTTTACGTCAAGCTCGTTTCCTTGGTTCTGATGTTTAAAATTGCTAAAATTATGGCCAGTTTAAGAAAGACCAAGTTGTTGGCATGAGTAATTTGCATGGTTTTTCGTTGCCCGATTTCACAGGGAAAACGAATGAGAATAATTAATTAAGTGGCAAACGTTTATGTAAATTTGCCGCTTGTAAGTAAGACAAAGTTTACATATTTAGCAGCATGTCTTCCGCGTATAATATTTGCTTGTTTGATCGCTGTTTTTCACATTCCACTTCCAGATGTTTATTTTACAAAGAGTTGTCAACTCCAAGTATAATATCATGTTACGTGATCTAGGGTATTTGGGATAATGAATTACGGAATGAGAGTATTTTCTGTTCGTGGGACTTGAGGATTGAACACAAAAAGCTGAAGATACGAAGGACATGATTTTGGAAATATTTCTTCGGAATGTTATTCTGTCAAATAAAGACAAAAAGCCATATTTTGTTTGTTTAAAAAACTAATTGACGTCTCAGGAGTTTCGCTGATAATAATAATTGCTTGTTAGACTATTATGGAAAGCAGCATTTGTAGTATTTGCACTGGAAGTTTTTTTTGTGAACTCACTACAATATAAAAAATTACTGATGAAAACTTAAGGAATCATATTTTTTTGCAAACGAAATATTTTCGTTTGTTTGCAATTTGCTGAAAACTTGAGGTCTTCACATGTGAAACTATTTGTCATCTACTTCACATTTTAAGATTAAAAATGGCTTGCTATGTAATATACAGTAACTGTAACTGTAATGTTTAAATTAGAGCGAAATTTTCTGCTTCCGTTGATATTACAACCGTTTCTTTGAGGCCTCTAGCCCATTTACTCATTCATTTTTCTGGAAAGAAAGATACATCGATTCAATGACTGCAAAGTTTGGCTTTTGGTCAGGTATATTAATTGTAGGAGTTATAAAAGGCATTCTCTCACTAAATCGGAGGATAGTGTCATCAGTAGAAACTTCCTTTGAATCCACAGGACTTTTTTCTGTGGCGATTACAATTATAATTATCGCCAAAAATGTTTATCGCTCTTATAACATAGTTAATATTCCAATTATATTCTGCAGGTGGCATACAACTGCCGACGTTAGGAATAGTTTGATTAAGGCATTTGTCAAGTTTTACAGCTGTCTTGTAAAGGTTAATGCTTGCAATGTGGTCAGAGTGACACCAGCAGCCACCGGGAAAATGAAAAATTGAATTGCCACTTTAAAAACAACATCAAAGAAAGGTTAAGTTTCTTCGTGTTCTTTGTAGAAATCAGCTATAACTGAAATACTTTTTTCATTATCTTTATCGGTGATGTGCAGTCATTTTCCCGACTGCCGTTCATATGAAGAGGCTGACAAAAAAAAGTCTAGGAAGGCCGAGGGCTGTCAACCATTTATGGTCGGATGTCGCAGACAAACGCCCGGGAGATGCTGGTGTTATTCAATATGATCACTTCGTGTAACGCTTACTAGCACCTTTGTAGATTCAGGTGAGGTAGTGGTGCCATTTTAAATAAGCTAAGGCAAATAGAAATTAGTATTTTCTAATTTGTTGCTTACGTAGTAGTTCATATTACCTATGAGAGAGAATGAACATTTCAGAATAAACCAAGGAAACAGTCGATATGTGAAACTGGTTGAAGTTTTCGTTGGGAATTGGAGCACCCTGACCACACAGGTCTCCTTCAGAAATGCAACTGATAATCAGTAACAATAGATAACCCAACTCTTCAGGAAATTCATGTGAACATCAAATAAGTACAGTAGTATACAGAGTTACACTGACACATTTGATATTACACATTATTTGCGCGTGAAAGTGTGACCCCTTGCGCGTCCTCCTGATCACACTTAGGCGTGACTAAAAGATTCCCCAAATTCAAATCGTCATCTTGGACGCCAATCCGGCCAACTAGTTTGCTAATTTATAGCACGTGTTACAAAATACCCTTCTCTAATTTTCTCTGTACCATAGCACCCCAGTATACTACGAAGCTCCTATTAGCCTTGCAAAGTTTCACTAACCATGAGCGTTATGATGAAAAGGAAAGGTCGGTTGAGCCTTGAAAATATCAGAGATTTGAATGGTTGAGGGTTTGTCCTTAAGCGATCGTTTTGTGGACATTATTTTAAATATAAGTAGTTTCAGAATACCAATTCACCAATCTTTTACTGACTTGATATTTTCAGCACTAGTACCTACAAAATGCACACCTGTATTTCTTTTTTTTTTCTCTTTTTCCTTTTTTTCCCGGTCACCATTTTGATTGAGAGGTGTGTTTTGAATCCTGGTCGCTCTACAAAGTGATGGAGATGAGTCTACAATGGACTGATTCGCTGCGGCCAGCCACTGAATACACTGTAAATGTACATTTCGAGTTGCTTACGAGATATTCGACGACAACATTACTGCTGTCATAAATCTGAAAGTCCTTACCACATCAAGTATGGAATTCTTTTCTTGTACTCAGATGGAAATGACCTGAAAATCATCCACCTTGTAATAATGAGAACCCCTCCGATCTTCGATACTGGTCGTCTCGCTTTTAGAACGACTAACTTCACATTTCTTCGAACGGCTGCTGAAATTAAGCGACTGGCACTGATTGGTTACCAAGCAAGTCTTCATACATTGCATGACGTCAGTGACACTCGGTGCGGTAATCACGTGACCAGGCAATACTTCATCCGCACCAAATCGTGGCATGAACAACGCCACCGAGACTAGATGAAACACGGGAGAAAACGGAGCAGTGTTAATTGCTGTGTAACTTTTCAATGTGCATCGAAGTGTTTACCACTGTGCATGTGCACGTAGAGATTCAAGAGTAGACTGGTTATGCCACCAAGTTAAAATGGCAATTTAGCAATATATTGCCGGACTTTACAATTAAACTAATTCTAAGTCTCGACAATGTCCCTATGGGGATTCCAAATGACGCCAAATGTGACGAATGAAACAAGTGACTCACGAGCTGAAGAAGTGTGTCGCTTTTGTTTCTCACAAAAAAGCTTGTTTTCTGTTATCTGTGATTGACCAAACACAATGTGAAATATAATCATGTTGTATTAAGCAAGGATCAGGAAAAAAATTAAGGACTATCGCAAATTCACCTCGTAGCACTCCATTTCTCGTTGGTAGCAATTACTTGCTTACGTTTTGGAAAAGTCGTGCAATTTTTTTTTAAAACTACATGCCGTGTTGCCGAAAGCGAAGCAGACAAGTTTGCATGAGGTCAGCCTCACGTCTGTGCTCTAATAGATCATAGGTAAAGACCAATCACAATCACCCTAAAAATTTACGCCATTGTACCTTCTGGCCAAGGCTCTCCATAAACCTCCATTCTTACACAAGTCCAATTCTGCCATTTTAACGGTATAAGGCGCACATACAGAGCTTGAATCACCGGGATGATCATGTTCTTTTTTACTTCATGCGTGTTGCTATTTCCTTGCAGAACCTGTTAAATTCATGCAAAGGAACGAAGTTTAGAAAAATGGTTCGGGAAAAGAAAGTTTGCTAACTCAAGTATCCAGAGCTGATTTACTAAGGGTGCCACTCGTCTTATAACGATGTTTTCGTCATTATTCAAAACTGTCGTGTCATCCCAGCCAATTTTATAGTTTGTTTCTAGTATCTATGTGAGACTTTTTAACTATGAGAAATATCGCTTCATAAGAAATATCGCTTCATATCAAACGTTTGTGGAGAAGAAGGATGGATAGGGAGCTTGTAGGGTACAAGAAGTCAACTGAACAACGCATGTAGACGTTTCAACAGTTTTTCGTTCCACTACTTGCTTCTGTTAGAAATGTTTTGTAACACAAACAAGACAAGCAATGACACGACTAACGTTTTATTCAACTTCGGAAACGGCTCACACGCGAGAAACACAGTCGTAAGTCAACTAAACTGCGCATGTCCGACCCAACCAGGGCTCATGCTCCACGCTACAGTTTATTTATTAGTCTATTAATTTGTCTATTTCTACCTTTGGAGATTCCTCCCATCTAACACCATCGTCAGACCATCGCAGTTTGTACCCTTCCAGATAACTATCATTTCTAGGGTTACCTCGAGTGGCAACTCCACAAATGCGGTAAGTTTGGCCAAAATCTATCTACAAATGTTAGATACATGTGGCACTAGCGAATCGAAAAGTACTCGAAGGGAAAGAGATCCTGGGTTAGTCCATCGCTATCAGACAAAATTGTAATTCACACCTTTTTGAGCATAATTATCTATTAATCATAGAAATGTTTACGTCGTCCGTGATTGATAAATGATTATCTAATAAGCTGAATGATACATGCAATTTGATTGGTGCGTGATTATGAATTATTGAAGGAGGCGCGTAAAAGACGTCACCATAGACAATCGATGCTTTTTTATTCAAGAAAACCAATAGAATCCGTGTTGTCATGCATCTGTTCATTAATAGGTCATACAAGACGTCTAAATGGGGTAAGAACATCAGTAACACACTCGGCTGCGCCGTACAAGCCTCTTCAGTTTGTTGTTCTCTATGATCTATTCGTGACCTTAAGCAGTCAGAACGACAACGGCGAAGAAAATGTCGATTTATGATAGAAATTTCCCAAGCGATGGGTAGGAAACGGATATATCGCGCTTTAATTGGTGGGTCTAAGTCATAATAAACAACTGTATTACGGTCCACATTTCCAGAAAATTCCTGAAATAATAAAATAAATAAATGAGATTTCAGTGTAATTAAACTGAACTGAAGCAAGAAATCTGTAATAAAAGTGGAAACCAGCTTTTGTTAAACCTTACTAATTTTTTCAACCAAAGTTCCACAGATTTAGAAATTGTACATGAAGAAATTTCAGCGCGTTTTAAAGAGAACTAAGATGGGAATATCGACTGAGAAAACCAGTTTCCATTTATTTCGAATGTGTTGGCAGTGAGGCAAAGTCGTAGTAACAAATGCTGAAGAGGCAGAATTTTTTTAAATGTCAAAAAGAAAACGAAGGGTGGTGAAGCCTTTGAAGTACAGAGATTGGTTTGTTTTTCCATGTGGAAAGAGATGAAACATGAGGGCTACAAATCAATTGGCGTGCATATCGTAGTCATCGAAGTGTTTCACAGAACAGAGGCAAAAATCTTTAAAAACCATATTTAAGCAAAAGGAATATTTAAAACAAAGAAATTAAAGGAGGGGAGATTGATGAATGGAAAACTAAGGGTTTCTTAATAGAAACAAAGGGATAAGTTTCTAAAGAAACGGCAAATTGGTAACCAGGCTGAAGATTTTTGCATTAACCCGTCTGAAATTTTGTCAGGACAGATGACAGAATTTATCTTATTGACCATACTATTCGGCTATCGCGTTCTGGTGAAGAGGCCCGATGAAGGATAATTTATATTCATAGACAGCAATTGACAGTTTTGGCTCACCTTAAGCGATTCACCGTTTTCCGTTTAGTACACGAACTCATCACCATGATTCTGTATTTATTCGATTAAGCGCCCAGGGCGCTTATTTAATTTTTGGTCTTTCAGGGTGGGCGCTTATTCGAGGTGGGCGCCTATTCGAGGCTGGGCGCTTATTAAATTTGCACCATTTTCATTAAGTAAAATGAAACAATGAAACTAGAGATTGTGAGCCATAAAAGAAATACCGTACCGTAATAATCAATACCAGTATTCCCCTTGTGCACTTTATTATGGGTGGGCGCTTATTCGAGACTAGGCGCTTATTAACTTTTCTACCTTCAGGTTGGGCGCTTATTCGAGGCTGGGCGCTTATTCGAATAAATACGGTTACTGTATTGCACATTGTGTTGAGTCACCCACCGAGAAAAGTCTCTCCTTCCCTGTACGTGTAGCCAAGCCTGTCACGCTTATATCCTGACTCCGTGATGTTTTCGAGGCACACATGAAAAACTAATGACTCCCGAAATTTCGAGAGAAAGCTCGCTCCTCCCAAAAAATTCGAGCAAACGCCGTGTTTTGTGAAGAAACTACATCATAACAAAACACAAGAAATTTCCCGCTGGACTAATAGTACTTGTCATGACTCTGATTATATTAAATTTTCTCTTATAGCCTCACCTTCAAAAAACAATTATGGGCTCGTTTTCGGGAATCCTGTAAATTCTCTATCCCGAAAATATCTTTACATTCAAGACAAAAGTATAACATGCAAACCATTACCACTCGCCTCAGACCCTCCGCTGCCTCCACTCTCCACGGACAACTACAATGTGTTGAATGCAGACGAAGCATCTGGATGTAAACTCTTCACCTATGAGGAAGATCCTGGTACAAGTGATGTTTGCGCTGCTAATCATTTTGCCTTGAATCTGAGGGAAGGAAATGCGTGGGAGGAAACTGTTAAAAACACTAAGAAAAAATTCCTTTTCTTAAACTTCTTTTCAAGATTTAAAGATGGACCGAAAAGCACAAAGGTTCGCAAATTCCGGAAATAATTCAATTACAACTGTGATGACCTTGTTTGAAACAAAATAAACCATGAACCTTAATGTTTATAAAATAAACCGACTCTTTTGAGTTTCTTACCCGTATTGCTGACTTCTTTACATTTTATTCATTCATTTATTCAGTTTTCATTTAACCCCCCCCCCCCCAAAAAAAACACTGAACAAATT